TGCGTGACTCGAACCGGCGCTCGCGTACGGCACCTAGCATATTGTGAACATATACCCACGCAGCACACACAATTTACTACGCAACACAAACTGTCTTCCAATAGATGGTTCGCAATAGTGTGTTTAAAACGTAAACATACATTTACTAGATTGACATGCAAATCCCAAGTTGGTATTGCGTATTTAATGTACTTTTAATATAGACTTTCATTCACTAAAATGTATTGATACTTTGTCTACCTACAGACGTATTATAACTGCAGTTGCATCTCGTCGGACGCGGGAAGTGTCGACTCACCGGAAGCTGTATCCGGCAAATGTGAAGTCGAATGCTGGCAACTTCCGGTGTTTGCTGTAGGGTTTTTTATCATTCTACTTCTAGCATTCCTTATACTGACTCCAAGTACAATTTTGACTATGAGGTCAGTTCACGTTTCTTCGTATTCATCTGCATAGGTATTTTTTCTGTTTAATATGTAATACCGATAATCGTAGACTGATCTAATAATGTATGGCATCCTACAATATTTCTAGGTGTGTACCAGATCAGCAGAGGTCACATGCCCTCGGTATATCTTCCATCATATGTCGGTGTCTTGGTAAGTACATTGATACTATCGAGATGTCATTTGGACGAAACGTGTATCACTTAATTTTACTCAGTATCAATCTTTTTAGTTGAACATATTCTCTAAACTCGAAACAATCACAACATCATAATGTTTTAACTGACTGCATTCATATATCACAATTCCGTTACACAGGGGCAATCCCAGGACCAATTCTGATTGGTGCAGCGATTGACAGTTCGTGCCTTGTATGGCAAGAGGTCTGCGGCGATACCGGGACTTGTTGGATCTACGATAACCACACGTTTGGTTTGAAATTCGTTGTTATAGGCACAGTAGTTGCCGGCATTGGCCTCATTGGTTGTATTGTTGCCCTTCTAGTCTATAAACCTCCACCCGAGGAAATTATTAATGACCAAATCGACTCAACAAGTACAAATCCGGTATCGACTATGGCAAATGAGACAACGTCTGCTATCAAAAAAGAGACAAGCACCGCATCACTACTAGGGTACAATCGACAAGACCATAATGATGAAATCGACATCACGATAACTTACCTGAAAACAACATATAACCAATGTTCGCAATATATGTACTGTTTATTCTATATATTGATAATGTGTTTCGTAATATATGTATTTTTTATCCTTTTTCACGAGATTCTTATTATTTTTGGTTACATGAAACAGAGTTGGTTACCTAAATAAATAAACAGACATATCGCTACATTTTAGCGACTTTGGCTAACTGACCAAATATATATTACATATTTTGTCGATGCCTATGTGTTCCTGCGCCTTGACATATCCATTATTAAACACATAACTTGTAGATTCTGGATGATAAACTGGACGCCCCAGCGTCATACATACATGAAAACAATATATAGTACAGATATGTGTACCATATATTTCACTGTGTGTCGGAATATACGTAATACTCTGTAAGACAGAGTCGAGTTATGTCGCTTTTTGAAACCTAGTTGTTCTTTCATCATTATCACTGAGCCTGAAATCGACATTGATTCAACTCGTCATCCAAGCTATTCAAAATATAGAGCATATTAGGACAACCATTTAAATAATTCAGAATGTCTTTAATACCCAGAAATTGTTTCTTCCTGTGGCGGGACACAGTGATTTGAGTGAAAAATATTACATAAATAAGAATAAATCAACAGGTAATTATCATGGCAAGATTTAAGATTTAAAAAAACAATTCATAAAAAATAAATATATAATCAGGAAACTACTAACATGCGGTAACTCTTGTTGAACCCTGCCTAAGCACAAAATGACATGATTACATAACTATAGAATTGGCTTCAAACCAAATGACCGACTGAGAAAATAACTTGTATATTTATGGTCAGTTTCCTTCACGTTTAATATATATTTTCACAACAAGACTAAATAGTCGAAAATAGCAAATATAAATTTGAACTAAAATCTGAAATATAGATTAGGACGAATGTGGCGATGTCCTAGCTGGATTTGTGACACTGGGTGAAAGCGTCATAATAGTTAAAGTGCAAGTTCAAATTTACTGTAAGCAAACAATGACTTCACGTGTAAACATCGCATGGAGCTCATATATCAAACTCGACATTTTAATTTAATCATGATACATACCCGTTGAAATCGCTCATGATATTCAGAAACTTCAAAAATTCTGTAACTCACAGTGCACAGCAAATACAAACAGATTGAAATGAAATAAATAGCTAGTTGTACAATAAAGATTGTTCACATTAACCTTTGGTCATATGACTCGCGTGGTGTTCTCGATTGGCAAGATACGGGTAACGTGTCCAAACATAGGCTTTGGTGATACTGAATATACACCGTTGCTATTTCTCGCCACTCTGTGGTACTACAGGTTTGTAAACGCTATATTTTACAATTAATTATATTACTGACCTATGGCTGTGTTTGACAGCCTGGCGGAGGGAGGGAGGGGGGGGGGGTAATGACAACGACGAGGGAAATACAGTCAAGTGTCATATTTGAAGGATTTATGCAGCGAGTAACTCCCACTGTTACCATGTCCGCTATTGTATAGATAAACTGATTTATCTGCTGAATATGTTGCTGAATTTAAAATCAAACTAGTGAATCAGTATGTCACTATTATGTCTTCTTGCGGATATGGCAGCCAAGTAATGAAATAAGGCACTGTTGTTAATGAGTCTAAAAATGGGATTGTTATAAATCGTATGACTACCTTGGCCTTACCCCATCATCAAATGATTAGTTTTACCAGACAATCTGACGGTTTTATTGTGATATACAAGTTAATTTAGATAACGTGGCGTGTTTGTTTTGACAGATAATTCGTTCATAGTGTAAGAGGTGGAAGAAATACTAAAGCAGAAGATGCATTAATAACGGAGACGGAATAACGTACACATCTTGATTCGTCACCATGACATTAATTAATATTTAGTTCGAACGCAATATCACAATAAAGTGAAAAACACGATCTTTTTGATTTTCCGTGATTTCATAAAACTAAAGATACACATATACGTTATACATATATATGTCTGTGACATAAAAAAATCACTATTAATGGCCCATTTTTTTTCAAATACCGCTATTAAAATTTAAGACGATGTACATATGTAAATATACCATCAATCGCTAATGAATAAATTTTGTTTTCACTCCCTATAGTTCGTCGCTAATAATGTCAAATACAGAGATGACAAGAAAAGATTGTGATGAAAATGAAGATGCCAATGGAGTTAACAGACCCATCGACAAATCTACAGATGGTTCTGTTTCTTCCAAAATAAGTAACATCGATATTGATACAGAATCTCTTCTGTGTGGATGGTTCAGCTTACGTCCGTTATGGATACAGCGCTTCAGTACTCCTAACTGGTTAGCGGGGATAATGTCATCTCTTACGTTTGTACACGGATTTGCCATTATTGGGATCGTGTACATGAGTTTATCGAGCATAGAGATACGATTCGGGCTTAAGCACGGCTATAGGCATCATCGTGGCCACGTATGACTTGACACACATGGTGCTCGTTGTATTCGTCTCGTACTTCGGTGCCACGAGGAATAAACCCAGAGTACTTGGAATGGGAGCTGTGATCATGGGGTGCGGATCCTTAACGTGGGCTATCCCACACTTCACTACTGGTCTGTACGATTACGATGCTGCGTACGGGGACGAGGACACTCTCTGTGTGCCCGGTAGAAACACTTCTCGCTTAAGTGACTGTGAGGATGATGATTGGGGAGATCTGTCAAATTATGCCTTTGTTTTTATATTCGCCCAAGTACTCCATGGAATTGGTGCATCACCCATTTATACCGTTGGATTTGCATTTGCTGATGAGAATGCGTCACATAGAAGATCGGCCTGGTACTTAGGTAAACACACTATGCATCTGTACCTAAACTCAGCTTCGTAACGTAATTCATATTATCGATGGTGATGCCAACCGAAGATGGAGCTCTTCAATATCAATATCCATCTAAACACTCAGAGCCACACTTCTGGAATACTTTAAGTGAATGCAGTTATAATAAGAATCCTGTTTGGCATTCACGTTTACCTTAAACCCTAATCGGGTCGAGCAGGTCACATTGATAACACAAGTGTACTGTGAATGCTTAGTAATTATTTTCTTGGAATTCTATCTTTGGATGTCCTTTAGTCCTCATATACATAGGCATTGTACTTGTAGCTTGTACTTGTAGTTATGTATGCGAACATACACACATACTGTGTTCTTGACATTTTGTCCTGAAAATATAACTTTGAATTAGTAAAGGGCATGAAGTAATGTTATAATAGCTTCATGCATTGATTCTGTAATGTGAACTATCCCATTGAGATTGGGTCTTAGACGGTAAATAATATAGTCTAACTTTACAGATTCAATACATGAGTCAATATAAATTTTTAATTAGTCACGAAGAGCACTTATTTATTTACCTGATTCCTTACACTATAAATTCGGTTCTCTTAATGTTCGATGTACCCAATGATCACAGATCAAATTAGAGTTTATAAACAAATATAAACAAATAATTAATTTAGTATTGAACTTACATGGTAAATACAGTAACTTAATTATGTATAGTAACTAGTAATGATTTGTCGTAATGTCGTATTGTTATGACGTATTTGGAAATAATCACCAAATTATCTATTTATATTTTAAAGCTATAATGAGCACATCTTCTGTTATTGGACCTTCTGTTGGATTTCTTGTCGGTTCATACTTCCTAACAATCTATGTAGATGTACTACACCAAGACGAGTGAGTAGAGTGTTTCTTCTTGTTGCTGTTGTCATCGTATGCTCATTAGTGTTAGCCACAGCTATATTCCTCACATGTGTTACATGGCTGTGTAAGCATGACGATATCTGGAAACGATACCTAATTGATGCATACACCCGCCCGCATTATTTATCCGATTGTCTGAAATTATGTACGAGACAGCTGGGGAACAAGATAATAAGAATAGATTAGACGTATACCGGCGATTGGAATTAAACTGGCTGGGCCATCATACACATAATATCAGCTTATAGTATAATAATGTATTATTATTAATATAGTTTAACGATAGATAATTCGGATCCTAGCTGGGTTGGTGCGTGGTGGATCGGTTTCTTACTGGCATGGATCTTAGCATGGATGGTAGCTGCTCCGATAGGTGCTTTTCCTCCCGAATTGCCAGGTATAATATAAAGTATGTCAGTATGTTTTAAATATCATTATCATGAGTACAAATTGTTATTGATTTTGTTTCTTTTGTTTTTTTTTTTCCGCGGATTGTTGTCCGACTATAACTTACACAATCTGAGACTTGATCTACACAACAACAATTTGATTAGTCATATGGTTTGACGGCAAATTTGTAATGGTGTTAAACCATAATTACCGTTTTGGGCCTTTTTCCGATTTTTGTTATTGTCTCATCACTGGCATGGTGCCTACATGTCAAACGAATGGAAGATATAGCGATCTTGAAACAAACTTACCGCAATGACGGGGAATTTTAGGCATCTATGTACTAAGCACATTTGCATTTTCAAATCTTTCGTTTTGCCACCGTTTTGCATAAATTGAAAGCATACTAATTTTAAAAATAGATATATTAATTCCACATTCCATTACTTTGGAAACTTTTAATTGTTGGTATAGCCTCTATTTAATAGTGTAAATGATTGTAAGGCATGTGACAATAATTAACATTTTGTCGGCCAATTTGTATTTACTCCAAACATTTTGTAAAATATCAATATTGATTTCTTACGGGATTTTGTCGTAGTTTGGTACGTTACATTGCTTAGTAGTGTGAATAAAAACGTATTGAAATTTGTCCCGTTATGCTGGATTAACGAAAATTAACATATCCATTGAAATAATATCTATACTAGAGTCACAATAACAAATAATTAAATTATATTGTTGTTGTGTTCTGTTTCCATAGGAACCAAGCATATCCAGCATAGACGCCAATCACAGGCACACCACAATCGTGACGACGTCGAACTCTTAAGGGAAAGTTCATCTTTCGGAGAAGGGTGGAAAGACTTGTGGCCCGCCACTAAAATGCTTTTTAAAAACCCATTTTATTGTTGCATCACTATCTATAGATCCGCTTTGACATTCGTCATTTTTGGATTCCTTCCTTTCATTGTCAAGTTCATTGAAAATCAGTTCGGTCTAACAGCGTCCGAAGCTGGTCTGGTTTTAGGTAAGAGAATGCGTGGTTTAAACGTTTGATATTTATACATTATATGCATGTGTCAGTTTTTCACCAGTGATTGTTATTTTTATAAAGTGTGATAGTTTCGTTAATGTTTCAGCTGTGACGTCCATATCTGGCGCTTCTGGGGGAACTTTACTGGGTGGCTGGATCATAAAAAAATTCAACTTAAAAGTCATAGGAACCACACGATTCTGTTTACTAGCGACGATCGTGACGATGTGCCTCTTTCCAATATTTCTTTTGCAATGTCCAGAACAACAAATAGCTGGGGTGGTTACATCGTACAACAGTTCAGAGTAAGTATTTTTTTTTTTTGTGGGCCAATGGAATTTCTGGAAGAACAGAAAATGATATATTAATGACAAATGACGACAAAACAAATTTTACAATTTCAGCGATCTTGATTACGGTGCGTCATAATGAAATCATAGAAGAATTTCCTTGCTAGAGGGTGTGACCTAATATCTGATAGATTCTGATACTACACCCAAGAAATGGCACACCTCTAGTGGTAATTCATTGAACGTGTGGGTAATTGCTTGTCATGTTTTCCAAATCGTACAAAAAATGGTTAAAATATGTGATTTTGTATACGACTATATCAAATTATATGCTTCACACTAAATTACAATTATTTCAGTACGAGTGATATTGACGAGGTCAACCTTATCCACCCGTGTAACTATGTGTGTGGTTGTGCTGGTACTGAAACTTACGATCCAGTCTGTGGAACCAATAATCTGCTATATTTTGATGCGTGCTATGCTGGTTGCCTGGATACCCCGGATGATGGTGAGGTAGGAACATCATATGGCGCGGCGACCTAACGATACATTGAGTGGCTCAATGTGTTACTTCACTATACCACACTACCCGTCTGAGGACAGACGTTTCGAAACAGCGTGTAATAAATGAGAATATAAAGTGATGAGATAAAAATGCGAATCCCGAAAAAAAAAACTAATTTATTATCCAAGCTCGTATCTTAACCAATATATTGCTCGCACATTTAGTGCATGTTGTTTTTCACTAATTTAAAATCTATTTCTAACTGGCTCACCTCCCTGTTAGACGTATTACAACTGCAGTTGCATCTCATCGAACACGGAAAGTTCCCACACACCAGAAGCCGTATCCGGGAAGTGCGAAGTCGAATGCTGGCAACTTCCGGTGTTTACTGTAGGATTATTTCTCATTCTACTAATGGCATTCCTTATACTGACTCCAAGTACAATTTTGACTATGAGGTCAGTTCACGTTTTCTTATATTCATCTGAATAGATGTTCTTCTGTTTAATATGTAATACCGATAACCTTAGACTGATCTAACAATTTATGTCACCCATCAATATTTCTAGATGTGTACCAGATCAGCAGAGGTCACATGCCCTGGGCATATCTTCCATCATAACTCGGTGTCTTGGTAAGTAAATTAAGATTATCGAGAGTTCTCATGGTTAATATATGCAGCTTTTTAATTCAGCATAAATATTTTTAATTGAATGTGTCTCATGGACGTGAAAAACAAAATACCGTACTGACTGAAGTGCTATACTTACAACTATGACAATTCCTTCACACAGGGGCAGTCCCAGGCCCAATTTTGATTGGTGCAGCGATTGACAGTTCGTGCCTTGTATGGCAAGAGGTCTGCGGCGATACCGGGACTTGCTGGATCTACGATAACCACACGTTTGGTTTGAAATTCGTTGTTATTGGCATAGTAGTTGCTGGTATTGCTTTATTTGTATGTATAGTTGCTCTTTTAGTCTATAAAGCTCCACCCGATACGCAGATTGCTGACAACATCGACTCAACCAGTACAGAACCGGTATCAACGATGGCAAATGAGACAACGGCTGCTATCAAAAAAGAGACAAGCACCGTATCACTTCTTGGATACACACGAAACAATTTGAATGATGAAATTGATATCACCGATAACATACCTGGAAATAGCTTATAACTCATTTTTGCAATTTATGTACTTTATTTTTTATTTTCAAATATAATTTAATGATTGTTCATTTTGATTTAGTACAATCGCATACTCATCCGGGGATATAAAATATGATGTGCACAGGGAATTCCATACGACCACGTGATCTCAGATGATTGACAATCCAATCGGAGGTCAACGTCTAAACGGGAAGAGTTAATACGTAGGGTTCGATGAAGTGTCAAATAGATATATTCTCTATTTTTGGGGAAAAGTTGTATTTTCTTTCGTAGAATAAATTAATTTTGATATCCTCTTGAAAATCACAAGTAGGATATCTTCAAATATAATATGCAGGTACCTTTCAAAAAGATAATGTGAATATTTTGCAATGCTTTGTGGGAATGATGTAAATGCAACGAAACTATCTAAATTGGATACGTGCATTAAATATTAATTTTTAATCATGTAAATCAGTGCAAAATACTTCAAATAAAAAGACTGGTGCATGCACTCTTTCCATGATTGAAATGATGTCTCCGAACATATTTTCATACAGAAAACATTTTTTTTTATAAAAAGAAAAGCACTGAAAAATATTTATTTAAATGTATTAAAGAAAACAGATAGATTTTAATAAAACAAAAAAAGATAAAATGAAAACCAATTTACAAAAATAAGAAAAGATCTTACAAAAATTAACGCAAGATAGTTTAAATTAAATTATATTAAATTCAGTTAAATGTATAAAAAATAGTTTTGCGATATTTGGCGCGTTGTTGTGCATTTATTTTGCTTATGAGGATATTTACTTTAAGACGTTGGCAATAACAAAACACAAACACCACATGAAACATTTTTTTTATTTTCTAAATGCTACTGGATTACAATATAGAAATATTTACCCGGGCGGAGGTCGATATACAAATTTGTCCGAAGAGAACATTGTTGACCGAGTCGGAGCCGATCAATATTTGTATTATTTTACCGAATAAAACATTTTGTAAATATAACAACATATTTCCGGTTAAAGCGAAGGAGTCGTCACCTGCCCATGCGTCAGATGGCCATAGCGTGTCTTTGTTTACAAACAAGCGTCTACCCATGAGCCTTTGCGTTTAGCGTGTATTGTTATCGTCGCTTGGGTCTCAATTCCCGCGCGTGCGCAGGTGACGACCCCCTCGCTTTAAATGAACAACTTAATCAACCCTAGACGTATGTACGATATACAACGAGTAATACAATTACCTTGATGAAATAAAGAGAAGCACTATATACCTCGGTATACGACGGACGTCAACAAATCCAGGTACACCGCGCGAGATTCAAGCACTTTGTTTTTAATAACACCAAGTGCGAACCAATAGGGTGAGATAACGATCACATCAAATGTCCAGATACACCAATCATACATAGTCTGTTGAACGTTAATTGACTTGATAACCCAACGACCTTGCGAGGCGTCCTCTGTTTGTATCGAAGATAACACTGGTCATGTGCCAAAACATAATAAGACCGAGTAGAGAACGTTACTATATATGTGGCCGGTCGACAAAACCCAAGGTATGTTCATCTTATATAACCATGGTAATTATATTTGGCCGTTTGATTTGTTGAAGGAACTATGTGAAGCGTTATATAATGACAGATGTGTTGATGGGGGTTGGGCAGCGAGTAAGTTCGAAATGTTGTTTGATTGACCCATTTCAATGTATGACCCACACTGCTGTATTCGTGAATGTGTAACCACAGGGACTGGACAAGTAGTCTACTGAGATTGTGTCAGTCTTCTGCGAAGAATTCAGGCCAGCTGCTCTTAATAGAAACAAACCTATTTTCTAAATCATTTCGAAGGTGTAGTTCGTATGACAATCCCCGTATCCTACATAAAACACATGGCAATGACGATGTCAAAAATAGTGACTGACAGTGTACTGATCACGTGACAATGCTTTGCCTATACCCGCAACGCGCCTTTGCCAGAGAAGGAGGCCAATTCACACCTAATACAATGACCGTTTCCCGATCGGGGATAGAGGGAATGTGTGCGTAATCAATATTTGTTTATGTTATGGCTACACGGCCCTATTGTAAAAAAAAAAGTTACATGACCCTGACATATGACAGATTTATTATGATATACGGTTTGATGATAATCTGACAATCAGTGAATGTCATTGTTATCTGGCAAGTACAGCGAGGCTACGTTACAAATTAGCTACTATGGCGGTGGGTGGGTGGGGGGGTATTGTGACGCTGCTTCTTCTACAGACGTGCTAGTGTGTACCAGGTGAATTGTCTTAGTGCCGCCGTCGCCACCTTTTATCAGTTAAATGTGACGCCCATTCTTTTAATGCACAGCTGTTGCATTCAAGTTGTCGATGCTCATCCACATCACGTGGCAATGGCTCGTGTAAGTGAATAAAACTAAATTTAGAAAAAATCTCTGGATTATAAGGGTATATGAGGCATCCAACATTTGCATCATCACGTGAAGCACTAGATGATTTGCGTGTTGTTTTACGAAAACTACGCTATGTGTATCAGTCACGTTCAAATCTGACTGCACCCGGCGCGGGCGTCACGCAGAGCATGTATGAATTTCATGCGAACTAACAATGTATTTTTACACGTGATCGCGTGGGTCTCGTTTCGAACGCAGGGCGTCTTGTGTCGCATGGCGCTCTACTATAAAACGTATTTAGATTCATAATATTTTATACGCACCTATGCACTCTGAAATGTGCTTCTGGTTC